TTTGGCCAACAAAAATTTAAATCTACTAAGAACCAGAAATTATTAGTGCTTTAATTTAGCGCTTAAATAATTATTTTGAATTTTTTGTGTAAAAAACTACAAGTTTTAGACATGTGATGGCTAAAAAGTTATAAATACAACCCGAATTCGATAAAAATTTTTTGGGGGCATGCTCATATCTAGCTCATATCTAGTGCATACAGCGCATACAGCGCATATAGCATATATAAGCTTAAGCTTAAGAAAATATAAGATTTTTTTACGAAAATCTTTTCTGCTTTAGTCTAAAAGGAAATGTAGCTGATCACGAGCAAGAACGCATCCAATAAATGGGACACCCATCGCTAATCTTTAACTTTATTAGAAGTGATTTTCTGCATGCCGACGAAAAAAGCTAAGAGAGGGTTAATTTGTAACACAAATTTATGCATCACTTGCATGTATTGTTTGTTTTGTACAGTACACTGTTTTCTTTTAACGTTAAGGTTTGGGATCTGCAAAAAAATGGGCGCAACAATCAAATGGCTCGAGCCCAAATTAGTAAAAATTCTAAACCATTCCTTCGAGTTTACATTGTTAACGCCAACAGAAGTCTTTTTCGATTGTTAACAGTTGTCTACCGCATCTTCCTGCGTTGCGAATGCAAAGTAAATAACCAATTTATTATATAATTTGCAACGCAAGGAGTGTTCTCCTTATGCAAACCAAACAAAGTTAAAAATTGAAAAAAGACCTCCGCTACTAATGCTGTAATGCTCAAACCGATCACAGAAATAAACATACTCCTAATTGTCCCAGAAGGAAAAATAATAAAAAGAATTTTCTTACAACTCCTAATTTAGCATCATCACACTATATACTGTATGTGTTGAATTCCAAATTAGGTTGTTCAGAATTGGAAATTCTTATTTTCATATTGTTCAGTCAGTAAAACTACAAAATTTCTATTAGAAAATTTTAATTTAAAGCTATATGAAAATACGTAGGTACGTAAATACTGTAAATACGTAATTGCCATTGATCTTTATTGAATAAGTGAATTTCTTTCCACAAAAAAATGGTTCTAGGAAAAATATTTCGAAAAGACCGTAAGACTGAACCTACTTCAGTCTTTTCATTACGAATTATTGTATCAACTTTGTTTGGAATACTCCTAGCTGGATATACATTTTTTTTTAATTTTGGATATTTACAATGATCAACCCGCTATTAAAAGTTCTTTTACTAATGCAAATTCAATTCCTGTTCCAAGTAAGTTTTCTTTCAATTCTAAACTTTTAATATCTACGAGTTAATAACTAATGATATTATTATTTATAGTGTTAATCTTTTCAAACATTCCTATGAAATCTCATATAAATTGTTATTTCACATATGCTGGTACATATTAATAATATAGAGCCATATCTTATGTATTATATAATTATTTAAATCTATTAAATTTATTATTATCGTTCTTTTTTTAAAAAAAATCAGTTAATAATACTCGTGAAGACAATAAAGCATGCAATCAATATATAAGACAGCCTGTATTTGATACTACCTCCGCGAACTATATCAGTTACTTTCAAGCTGATGATGATTTATTATTTTCGCCAAATTTTAACGATAGCTTAAAGAATATTGGAATTACGGTCTACATTGATGATGCCACATATAATGGTAAAAATCTATCGACGTCTATAAACTTAATTGCAATTGACACAGGTTGAACTTTTTTAAAAAACAGATATATAATAATTTAAAAAATATTATAGTTCAAGCCTTTAATAAATTAACTTTCATCATTAAATATAGATCTCTATAATACTTATGGGTCTAAATTATTTGAAGATCAAGGTTATCAAGATTCAGTTTTTTTTAATTCAATAATTGAAATGAACACATATAAGCTATTATCCAATCAAGCAAGTTTTATTATATTTGTATGAATTTTAAATCAATTATACCGAGTATATATAAATATTATTACTTTTTATTTTATTCAACAGTCTTACGATATTCAAATAAAAAGAAGTATAAAAAAGTTTATGACAAAAAGCTGGAAAAACTATTTAGGATATACACCAGATCTTGAAACAATACCTTATATTACTTCTACTATTGGTATTACTTTATAATAATGCTTTTTAAAAGATGTAAAACAATACTAATTTATAATATATTTTTTTAGTATCCAATATAATTACAAATACTTCAGAACCTCAATCATTTTCTACGATAACTATTGAGCCAAACTCATTTACAATCCAAGTTGATACTGATCAAAAGTATATTTATTAGTTTATTAACATTTATTGATTTTTGTTTTTTTTATTAATTTTTATTTATTTCAAAGATTTAAAACTGTATGTATTGTATTTGGACTGATTGGTGGTGCATTTGGCCTAATTACTTGTTTATACGCGTTACTTTTTGGTAAATTTTTATTAGTATTTTTTGTTCTTTTTATTTTAATTAAAACTTATTATCTAATTTAGGTACAAATGCTATTCAACCATGGGGTTTAGTTCAAACAAATGTATTCAAATATAATCAAACTGAATTGTTAAAGACTCTAGAATCAATGCAGTTTCTTGATCACTTAACTCATAATACCGATAATTTAGAAGATCAACTATTTACTGAAAAGCTAGAAAATAGATTAGATTCATTACAATTATTTTTAAGAGATTATGTAGTAAATGTGCAATATTTAGAAAAAATTAATAAAAAACTTAATAGTAATATTTGAGTATAACAACAGATAATTATTTGTTAGAGTTATAATAATTATAGCGATAGTAGATAATTTTTGTGTATGTGATAAATAAATTTATTTATTGTAAAAACAAATGTTCTTAATTAAGTATTATACAGTAATTAAATAATAAAATCATTAAAAGAAATGTGAAATTTATAAACAAAACAATATACAATATTGCATTATTTCATTTTTTATAAATTACCTCCAATGATAAAAGGAAAGGACGGATATTATGACACAGTATGTATAGTGGCATATTTTGTCAATAACTTTCAAAACCATAATTCAAAATGCATAGTCTTACTAAGTTACTAAGTGAAGATTGAATATTATGGTACATATATTGGAGCATTTTTAGGTTTTCATTTACTATGTATTTTCTCATTCAGATAATATCTAGAAGAGGATGCAATTACAAGACATGATATTGACACCAGTAAACGGATAGTCAATCGCTTCACAAACCAGGACATCATGATCAGCACTCTAGCCAGTGATACATAAATTTTTGTTACAACACAGTTACAACACACGTTGAATCTAATAAAAACCTTTGGGAATCTACTAAATTCCAAATTATCGGGTTTAGTTTACATCGCTAGTTATAAACCTCCGATCCGACAATTAACATTTGAGGTATATGCTATGCACCTTATAGTGTGACATTAATATTATTGGTTAGTTTTGGTAGATCTACCCGTGATGATTAACCAATCAAACTACGAAATAAAACTTCGAATAAAGATGCTTACAAACTAATAAATACACACAAAAGAGTGGATTATTTATATTTAGAGAATAGATAAATACGCGTAAAGTGTGGAAATATGGTATTTATTACCAATAAACTCAAACTTATTAAAGAATCTACGTACGTACAAGATCTACGAACAAGACATAAGCTACAACTATTAATATACGGTTGGCAACCCCAAACGCAATACAAGAACCAACCAAATTTAAATATTAAGCCCAGATCTTCTACTTCAAGAGCTTGTACCTATTCAAATTAAACAGTTAAAAATAAAAGTTTATCAAAATCTAGTGTAATAAAATAGCTTTAGACGAAAACGTTATCAGTGATGACATAAAATGCAAAAATATGAGAATTTTTAGTGCAGTCATCAATAACATGGCTGCATAATAATAAATCTGATTAGTTGATTACGGCTTGCACTATATATATAGGTAGAAGAATTAGCTTATCAGAATGAAAGACTGCTATACTACCGGTAGTGGTATCTAACGGTAGCTACCACCTACCGGTATATACCGGTAGGGAAATTGTGATTGGGAAAATTCACTATATTCGGGCAATTGATTTACATAAGCCAATCAAACGAATGTTCGACTATGAGTATGACCCCAGTTATCATTTGAAGCAAGAACAAATCTGAGGCACAACATATGTACGGCTTTTTTTTTGCGTTTGAATTACATGCATTTAAACCATAAATATAACAAAGAATACGCATCAATTCTAATTTAAAAAGGCATTATTTTTCTTTATAAGATCTATTGAACTTAGAAAGCAATAACAAATTTTAGAAATAAGAAATAAGAGTTGTATTACATAATGTGAAATGAAAATCTTTACCATTAATGGTGATGAGTAATTTCTCAATAACAAATAGTTTGATACAATAATACAAATTCGGTAATTTATTTCCAAAAACTTGAGTTCGAGTTTAACCTGAAGCAACTATAATCTGTTTCAGGTTTTCTCTATAAATAGATCATCTTATGCCATACAAAGTACATATTTGTATGTATAAAATAGTATAAAAATATATTCAAGTGTAACTTTTACAAACTCTAAATATAATTTATTCATAAATATTTAATTCAAATTCTGAAAAACTTGAGTTTGAGCCTAACTGAAACAACTCTGATCTGTTTCAGGCTTTCTCTAAAATTATCTACCTTTTTACTGTACGAAATAGTAACATAAGGGATAGAAAATATATCCATTTGTAACTTTACAAACACTAAATATAATTTATTCACATATATATTTAAATACGGTTAATTACAATTTTTAACATGTAAATTTAATCAAAATGATTTTGGGAGAATCTTACCAAAGATATCGCAAGACTGAGCCCTTATCAATTCATATTATGAGGATTATAACTATGCTACTTTTATTAATTTGCATACTAATATTCATCATTAATTTGATTTTTAACATTGTAAATGATAAACCTGTTATTAGTAATTCCTTTATTCAAGAAGCTATGCCAATACCGAGTAAAGGAAACTACTTTCATTAATTGTTTTTATGTTAATTTTTAAATGAAATAAATAAAATTTCTTCAATATATATAAACTTCTTTTCTGAAAATTTGTTCATGGTTACATGCGGTTTTACAAATACTGGTATAAATAAATTTTTAACTTAAGAACAAAAGTTAATATATATGAATATGCTTCATAAAAATTTTAAACATTTATTTTATAAAACAGTTGTAGAAACCTTATCCGATGAATGCAGCTCACATATTAGTGAATCATTAATTAAAAGTGGTCCTTACTACTATGTAAATTTCTCAATTCCATCTGCATATGGATACAAACTTGTTTTGGATTACAATGATGCCACATAATATGCAAAATTTGGATATACAAAATATGGAAATCGTGGAGAACAAATAATCAACTTTAATATGAATTTTTTGGATCAAAATCCTAATCCAAGTTTATTTATTGAAATTTCTGATGCAGGTATATTTATGAACAATAATAACCTCTTTATCCTTTCATAAACCTAAGTTTTTTTTTATTATAACTTATAGAAACTATTTACCCGAAGGAGATTACCTCTTTGACATTTTTACAATCAATTTCATTGACTAACACTTATCAAATATCAACTAATGAAGTACGCAATTTCATTGAAATTTAAAGCAACTATTTCTTGTTATTTTAGCTAAACTTAAACTTTTATAATTTATTTTCATAAAAGCAAACTAATGTCTTTTTGGGTCGAAATATCAGAAACTTTATAATACCAGGCTGGAAAGCCACTATGGGATTCCAACCGGATTATGAAACAGTACCTTACTTAACTTCTAGAAAAAGTAATTTTATTTATGATATTTTAGAATTATTAGACAACTCAAATTATAAGTATATATAAATATAGTTGTGTTAATAATAAATAACTTATATTAATTCTAGGTTCAACAAGAACGCAAACTAATCAAAATGAATCAAACATTTTTACTCTTGGTATTTTAGCAGATTATGATACAACTACTATTGAAACAGAACAAAGGTAAGTTTTATTAAATAGTAATTTTAAATATTTAATTTGAATTTGCTTTATTATTGTCTCATCAACTTGAAAAAATTCTAAAGGACGCATACAGTGAGTGGTATTCTGTAGAAATTTAATATATATATATATATAATTAATTCGTAATTTCATATAGATTATGAGTTCTCTTGGCTTACTTGGTGGTGTATGGTCAATTGCTACAATTGCTTATAAATTACTTTTTGGTATGTCTTGTTTACAATCAAATATATTTATAGTTGGTAAAATCCCATTGGTGACATAATATAGGCCGTTCAAAGTTGATTAGTTGGTTAATGTCACCCCCCTTGGTTAACTGTCCCCCGAAATTAAACAAGCCAATTACAACGCAGCAAAGACTTCATTAATCATGTGATCAAAGTTGACCAATGAAATTTAATCAAATATCCTTGAGCATATATGTGTTTGTTTAAAACATCCCCTCCCCCCCCTTGTGTCTGAACCCAAAATTTTGACTTTAACCAACTAATTAACTTTAAGCGGCCATAAATTAAAGTCAACTTATCAACTATAATTACGTATTACAAATATATCTCCCAATCATTGATTAAAGATCATGGGAGATTAATGAATAATATCCAGGACCTTACGTTATTGTCAGAAACAAAGTTTCTGGTATTCAACGGATCAGGGTATTATTACTAATTATTCGTGAACCTAAATTTATATTTCATTTTCTTAAAATAGGTGATGATACAATTCAGCCTTTTGGATTGATTCAAAAATTTGGTCATTTTAATGAAAAAAATCAAAAAAAAGTTAACTGAACATTTATCCACAATTCCTTTAGTTCAAAGCTCATTCAATGATAATGTTGATGGTGAAAATCGCGTTGTACAATTAGGCAAAAAAATTAATGATTTAGAATCATTTTTAAGAGATTATGTAGTTGAAGTACAACAATTGGATAAAATTTATAAAAATATTGAAAAATAATAAAGATAAATAAATGTTGAATTGATATTATATTTATTAAAATGGCATAAAATATGTTGAACCATTTTATTTTATTATTTATATTTATATTTATGAAAAAGTACTTTAGCTTGAGATGAACATGGACAGTCAATGGACATAATAAAACTATAGAGTGTCCATGTTCTTGTCCATGGAATGTTTGTCCATGGACATGGACCGTATATGTCTGTATGTCCATGAACAGGCATGGACACTGTCTATGTACAACACTGCCTTAGCTATGAATTATTGTAAGTTTATAACAGACTTTTTCTATAGTTGCACATCTTAATTCTAATGCAAACTAACTCAACCACATATTACAATAACTTCAGCATTAACTACATGGAACACAGATTGAATCAATAAATATTGTGTGCGTACTGGGAGACAAGTTTTCTGATATATACCCAATAGTCTGCCATAGATCTGCCAACAAGAGGTAAATCGATATCGGTAACATAACAGCACAATATTGGGATACTCTGGTATTTTACTCTTAGCACTCTGGGCCTAAAAGTAAGATATCAGGATATCCCTACCTCTCAATATTTCACCAATATGCTGCAAATATGCTTGTGGATCTATGGCAGACAGACTATTGGGTACACACCAGGAAATAGGGTTCCGTTGTTTGATCCGGGTTTGATTTGAGTTTGATCAAACCCCAAATCAAATCAAACTCAAACTATATAATTTTATAAAGTTTGAATTCAAACCCAAATCCAAATAAAAAATAATCAAATTCAAACCAAACTCAAATTTTATAATAAGCTTGATTTGAGTTTGATTTGAAGTTTGCAAACTAGTTTGGGTTTGAATTAATAAAATAAGATAAATTAATTGGTTATTTTATTATTAATGTTTTTAATATACAATATCGTCTATTATTATTTTTAACTAGCATATAATTATGCATCAGTTTTACTATCAAGTTTTAAATAAGACATGTTAACTAATCTTAAATTTTATATTGCTCTTTAATCAGGATCCACTTTCATGTGAATACGATTTTAAATTCAAATCAAGTTACATATTTGGCCTTTACTTTACATTTAATTAAAAATTATATAGTCATAGTATGTAACATGAAGATAAATATCTTGTAACTAAACATGTTGCATTCATATAATTCTTGTTATATACGTAAACCATTAAGATATACTGTATAATTTTATGTACGTATTATAATTATTTAATGTACTTATATAATAATTCACCAATACGATAGTAGTAAAGATTTGAAATTGTTCAAATATTTATAACCATTGATTGGTTGATTTTAATGAAATGATTTTTTGAAGAGCAATCCTCGAAATTCAGAGACAGAATACATTATACTAGCAAACTCAGCCTTTGTCAGCTGGCTCCGGCATATAACTTTATTAGTAAAGTCTTTTTAGCGGTCTTGACTGGAATTTTGGGGATCATCCTGTATGAGTTATATGAAAACTGGTTTATTATATAGAATGTCAGTCAAGTGATAAAATAGATTAATAATGATTAATATAGCCAACAAATAAATTCTTCGCTAAGGCACCTTGCCTTCCTTGAAGATCACTGATCATTATTTCATAAAGCCAGTAAAAAATTAAAAAATAAAATAATTTTATACTTAAGAATATAATTAAGTATAGTATGAAGTATAAATAAAAGGCACACACTAATATCGTATTTTATTTACAATTTGCAAAAAAAAAAACAAAAAAAAAAACAAAAAAAAAACTTCATTTTCTTCACTATTTTTTTATTTATTTATTTTTCTTTTTTACAGCATACATATAATGCTTGATTTCGAATTAGAAATAGACCTTTTTAAACCAAACCTTATTTTAAAATAGGTTAATTCTAAATTACCCAAAATATTATTAATGAATCGCTATATTTACTAGTATGTTCTTAATTCAAACTTACTTCTTAATTTATATTTTTTTTTACGGAATATTCGATTAATCGTGTTAGTTTAATTTTTTGAAATTCTGTAATTGGCTTGATCTTCGAAATTTTCTGCATAAATCTTGAATTATTTATAATATAAATGATGCAAAGGGAAAACCTGTAAGTAAAATTTTATTCGTTAATCACTATGCTGATCCTAACGATTTGGCACTATAACGTGACCAATTATAGGATATGACAAATAATCATTTATTATATAGCTTATGTAGTAAACGTTTATTTGTAATATCCAATGATTGGTCGCGCCCCAGTGACAAATCTTTAAGATCGGCATAATGATTAACGAATAAAATTTTACTTACAGGTTTTCCCTGTGCATCACTCATATAATGAAGCCGAGCTAGATTAGTGTTAGGGTTCGTGTAATTGCACTGCATAATCGAAAGTCCTGTGATTAAAAAAAAAAGTAGCCATGATCTTAAACAACAATAAATGCTATGTTAAATGCATGTGCAAGGGGAAGGTAAAGCATAATTGCAGGTAATGATGCTTGTGTCAGATGTGTAACCTTCAGAAGGACAAATGGAAATAAAGATGCTAATTATTGTATTAAAGATGTAATCGAATGGATTCCTTTTAATAGATTAGTTAATATTCAAAAGAATTGGAATTCAGCGCCAAGAACAGGAATAAGTAATTATAAAACAAGGTGCTATGACAGGCAGGAAACCCTGATTGCTTCTATGGCAATTTCCAGTTTTTTTTTAGTCACAATTAAAGGCTAAATGCGGGTAGTATATAATGATAAGGCAACAGTTTTCAAGGTTATAAAGCGATTTGCCATTTGTCTAGTCGCCCTAATTTGTACGTACAGTAATAACAGCACAACTATTTCTACATAATAATGAGTTCCTTACCTGCGCAATCCAAAGGACCTGTACCAAATCATAACAATGATCTAGTTAATGACCACAATTGCGATAATAACCATAACAATGAAAACAATAATGACCAAGATAATAATAATATTGGCACTACTATTGGTAGTAAGTGAGTAGATAATAGTACAAGTGAGGTGTGGCTCTTTTTTAACAAAATTGTGTGGGAAAAAGAACGAAAAACTGCTAAATGTAAGGTTCCAAAGTGCATACATGAGGAATTTTCTTGCAGCAGTGGAGGCTCGACCAGCTCTCTATGGTGTCATTTAGAGTCTGCTCATTGGACTCAATATATCACGACAGAAGAATATCATAAGAAAAAAAAGAAAGTACAAGGTGTTAATATTATGGAGGCATTCAGAAAGGTGTGATTCTTATTTTATTTTTTTCCTCAATTTTTGAGCTGATCTAATTTAAAATTTTACCTTAGGATTCTAAAAACTCTCCTGCTCCGGTGCTAACTAATGCTGATAACATGAAGCTTCGTGATATGTTCACTGCTTGGATTATCAAGCGCCAACGCCCATTTACTATAGTCGAAGACCCTGAGTTTGTTGAAATCATACAATATTTAAACCCCACAGCACAAGTAGTCAAAGCAGATGCAATAAAGCACACAATTACATCACTCTATAGCTCTGGAAAAAAGAAATTAAAGGCAAGCTTCACGATTATTATATCCTTATATGTTATATAAGCATTAAAGCTCTATGAATTAAATACACTGAATTTAAAAGTTACTTTAGTAAAAATAATATTTATATGAGAGCTTTGCAGTAGAAAGGGCCCAAACTAACATTTTTTTCAAAATAACTTTTTTTATATAAATCAATTTAAAATAAGGCTAGAATCATTTTTTGCTTAAGGCACAAAAGTAATTGTATTAATAAAATTTTGCAATATAGCTCTTTAAAGTTATGATTTATTATAAGATTTATAACATAAAAATCGATTTTCTGAAGATCTTTTTTTTTGTGAGTTTGGGTCCTTTCTACTGCAAAGGCCTCATATAAGGTTTTTGGAATTGATAATTCAATATCTGTTTTCATACGAATAAAATATACTTATTTATATAAATTGTTTAGTGGCGAATATTTATCATAATAAGCTAATTTTATCACCAAATATACTTACTAATACAGAATTTAAACCAGAAAATAAGGTTTTTAGAAAGGTAGGTTAGCCGCTCTATAAAAATATCGTGGTCTCATAATCACCCACTTCCGATCTACAATTCAAATTAATAACTATAATAATTTAGTTGTATATATTTGAAAAACTATTAATTTGAATTGGTGGGTTGAAAATGGTTGGTGATTATGTGAACATGACATTTTTATGGCACAACTAACTTATTTTTTTTAAACACCTCTTATTTTCGAAATAAGTTAATTCTGAAATACCCAACATCTTGATTTTAAATTCACAAATTCCGAATCTATTATTTACTTATTTCGCTGTGTATTTATAATTCTTTAGACCTACTTAACCACTATTGAATCTAAAATCTCCTTCACGTCAGACCTTTGGACATCCCCTAATAATAAAGCCTTTATTTCTATAACAGCACATTATTTGGATGAAAATTGGGCCCTTAAAGAAACTGTTATTGACTTTGGTTTGATGAGTGGAAGACATACTGGAATTAATATTGCGGATGGGTTTTTTAAGGTGTTGAAGGACTATGGAATTATGTCAAAAGTATTTATTTATCTTTTATTACTATATAGCAATAATTACTCGAATACTAATGAACAGGAGGAAACGTTGAAACGTTACAAAATTGTTACACAATTGATAAAAAATTTTTTTATATTATTTTACAATACTTTTTTTAAAGGCTCACTTGACTTATGTTTTATATGAATATTGAAAATTTTTAAACAAACATGAAGCTCTCACTTTGCTTTACAACATATTTT